ACTCTTTTTCTGTTCTGCTCGGTCCCTCTGAGGGACCGAGCAGAACAGCCGAGCCAAATGCCGCTCGGCGGCATTCGGCTATTCACTCACTGCTGTTCGGCATCTTTAAGTATAGCCGGAACAGCAGTGAGAAGCCTGCCGGAGGTTCGGCTCAGCCGATCCAGATGTTGGATCGGCTGAGTGGAACTCCTTCTGCACTTCTGGTCGGCCGAACATGCTGAGCATGTTCGGCCGACCCGAAGCCACACGAAGCAGGCCATTTACGGCAGATTTCAGCCGATGTACGGCTGAAATCAGCCGTACCAGCCTGAAGTGAATAGCCGAACAGTGTTCGGCTCACTTCACTTCTGATCGGTCATTCACTCGGCTGCCCTCGGCAGCATAGTGAATAGACCCCATGGTGTTTTTGGGGTAATGCACCAGGCATACTGTAGCTTTTTCATTGAAAGCCAAAAAGTTAAATTTTAGTCTTTATCTGACCAGGGTACCTTCTTCCATATGTTAAGGGAGTCACTTGCATGCCTTTTGGCAAACAGCAAATGTGTTTGCTTATTTTTTTTCTGTAAGTAATGGCTTTTTTCTGGCCATTAAGGCCAGCTCTGTGAAGTGCATGGCTTAAAGTGCTCCTGTGAACAGATACTACAATCTCCGCTGTGGAGCTTGCAGCTCTCTCATGGTTATCTCTGGTCTCTTTGTTGCCTCTCTGATTAATGCCCTCCTTGCCTTGTCTGTGTGTTTTGGTGGGCAGCCCTCTCTTGGCTGTTTTTTTTTGTGGTGCTATATTATTTTCATTTTTTAATAATGGTGTGGTCAGTGCGATGTTCAACGTTTTGGGTGCTTTTTTTTAATAACCAAACCGTGATCTGTACTTCTCCACAACTTGACCTGTTTGGAGAGCTCATTGAGCTTCATGTTGCCGGTGTGTGTGTGTATATATGTATGTATGTATGTATGTATGTATGTATGTATATATGTATATGTAGATCTATATATATATATAGATATAGATAGATCTATCTATCTATCTATCTATCTATCTATCTATGTGACACTTAGATTGCACACAGATGGTCTTTTTTTAACTGATTATGTGACTTCTGAATGTAATTGGTTGCACCAGATATTATGTAGGGGCTTCATAGCAACAGGGGTGAATACAAATGCATGCACCACTTTTCCATGTTTTATACTTTTTTTATTTCACTTAAATTTCACTTCATTTTCACTTATTTTGTGTATGTCCATTGTGTGTAATGCAAATAAAAATCTATTTTAACTCCAGGTGGTAATGCAACAAATTAGGCAAAATGTCAAGGGGGCTGAATACTTAAGCAAACCATTTTTCATTTGTAAAGAGAGAGGGACCCTTTGCCTGGGTCAGCTTTTTTTTTTTTTTTAATTTTGGTTGTGGCATAAATAATGTTCCATGCGTCTTCAGCAGGAAATAATACGTGTCTGTAATGATGGCCTTGCCTCTGTGGGTTCTGGATACCATCTGGGCATTACACACAATGCTTAGCTGTGGGGAGCAGATTTGTAAACAAGCAAATAAGTTGTTCCAGTGAACTTATTTTGATTTTTGGACTTGGTTTATCCTGAATTTCTCATTACACCACTGACATAATGATTGTTCCCTTTTCTGTGCAGTGCATAGAAAAATATTTTCTTTACTGTTTTTAGAGGCCTACTCTAAGCCCTCTACTCTAAGCACTTTTTCTGGCCAAAATCCTCCCCCATAAAAAATAAATCCCATTCCTTTCTATGGCCATGTTCGCATCTGAGCATTTGGTCTCTTGTAGCAAAACACCTGTCACTGGAAAAAAAAAGTATATGAACTTCTTTTTGGTGCTTCTTGGCCCCAAAGACTTCAATAGAAATGCTGAAAGGGCGTATACTGCGTTTTTGTATGTATTGTATGCACATTTGCCATATACATCAATGTGTCACAATCTCCTCACAAAAATGCACAACTTAATGTACGCCTGTAATCCACACGCAACACAAAATGCACTAAGAACATGCATATTTGATGTCGCTTAGGTGTGAATAAGGGCTTAAGTTTCTGCAGCACATGGCTAATATTTGCAACCTTTTAGCCCTCATTCACACCTAAGTGACATCAAATATGCAAATTTTTAGCATGTTTTGTGTAGCACATTTTTTGCACCTTTTTATTGCGCGTTTTACATACAGTCATGTGTTTTGTGAGCAGATTGTGGCACATTGATGTGAATGGACAAACATGCATATATATGTGCACAGATGCACACAAATGCAGCAAACACGCATATTTGAGCATTTCCATTGAAGTCTATGGGGCCAGGAAGCGCAGAATTTGCCAAAAAGAAGCTCATACTTTCTTTAATCGATGAGCGTTTTGAACATGGCCATAGAAACGAATGGGGGGCATTTCTAGTGTTTTTCTCGGGCAGAAATAGCACTACAAAATACTCAGTGTGAATGAAAGATTATGGTTTGGTAGCTAGCACCAATATTGCATGATCAGACACACTTACTAATAGAGCAATATTCACCTTTATTGCACAGGTAAAGAAAGATGCTCATAATATTTTTTAATATTACTAACATTTCCCTCCTGATTTTTTTTTTTTTTTTTTGCTAAGCCCTCTGCCCCACCCATGGTTATTCCCTTCCAAATCTAACATTTCTCACCTAGAGTGGGTTTCTCTATTATGTTTGCCCACCAAAGATTTTCATCACATCACTTTCTTTAGAGGTCATAAAACTATTAATAATTATATGGCTACTATTAATTATCCATCAGGGTATTAACACTTTGTAGTGCATGTTATGAAGTATTAAGCTCTTGACTTTCTTGTATCCTAGGGCACAGGATATTTTCAGACAAGCAATGAAATATCCTAGTGTATTAGTGGAAGTTGTGCCATCTCATACCCGTGAGCTTTATGAGAAAACTGCCATATCTGACTTGGCACTGGAAGACGAAGATGATGACGTACCTAATATAAAACCACCTCCTCCACCTAGCCATGCAAAGCTAAGTGGGAAGAACAGTGACCACATTAATGGTTTGGATTCTGCACTGTCACTACAGTCATCAGTAGGCCCAGACCTAACAGGTCATAGTAGTTCATACCCTTCACCTCTGGACTTTGGAACTAAGAAAACTACCAAGATAACAAGGATTGATCTGAAAAAGGGTAATTATTAATTTATGTGTTGTGCCTTAAAGAAATGTGGTGTGTTTGTGTATATTAAACAAAACAAATGGCAGACACACTTATCAATTTGTTACCAGCTTTACAGCAAGGTGCACAAGGAAGGGCTTTAAACAGTAATAGCAAAAAGTTTCCCAGCACACTCGCAAGCCAGCATGCAAAAAAAGTGTGTTGAGTGCGTTTGCCATTTGTTTTGCTTGACTGATTTGGTGCAGTGACACACGGGGGGGGCTCAGCTTCCATAGTGATGTGTGGGGTCCCTTGTTTGTCAGGAGATTGGGCTTCCTCCTGACAAACCTGCACCCAATTTAATCTTTTGCCACATGTGCTCCAAGATGGAGATTCTCATAGTTTAGAGTTAGGACCGCACTATATGGATGTGCCTTGGCGCGGCTGTGCGGCTTTCACATTTTCGGCAGAAGACGTGTATCTAAACCACTGTTTGTAACCTCAGCGGTGAGACAAATTTTATGCATGCTGACTTGTGAGTGTGCTGGGAAACTTTTTGCTTTGTGTATATTAAGCCCCTTCGCCTGGAAAAAACAGGGACCACACTGCCCCCCTTATCGGAGTTACTGTATGCTTGCAATAACTCAATAAGGCATTCATTATCATTATCGGAGGCCACAAGTGGATGGTTCTTATCATTGGAGGTGAAGTTTGGATGAACCATTCCAGTAAGTGGGTAGCCCTGGTTGGAACTGCTCGGTCACTAGACAGGACTTGGGCAGAACATAGGCAAGTGTGCCACCCATGCATCATGTTGCTGAATGCTGGTAACACATCCCCTTGTTTAATGTTCTAGTCTGCTGCCATTTTTGTTTTTACAGTCTCACTGAGTGGTAATTTGTCATGGTGGAATAGTTTATTATGTACTGGAGCTGATCCAATCTTGGTCAGTATAACTAAAAGTTATAGTAGGAGTAGGAGGACAATTTCTAGGCATATTGTTGCAAAGCAAACTGTCTCTTTCAACCTCTTTTTCCCCTTTTGCAACTTGCTATCTTGATACTAAGGAGATCAAGTTTAATGGGGCAGATTGGAGCTGACACAAGACAGTCATTCTGGGGTGGTAAGTAGTATACACCTGGCCCCATGGACAAGACTTAACTTGCAACTACCACTTGGATAATGGAAAGTGCCTACGTTAATATATTGGGATCAATGTGGGCAGGGAACTTTGGAGAGAAAGAAGCAGAAAAAGCAAATACATTGTATAAAGTGCAGTAACGTATAGCAACTCATCGGAAATTGTCTTATAACTCTTCTCACCACTATGAACTAAGCTTGCATGTCTGTTATTGTACACAGTTAATGTGGAGATGGATTAAAAAAGAAGTATATTGTATCACTCTGTCTTCTGGGGATATACTCTTTATGAAGACAACTGTTTAGAGCATCTGTTACATATTTCTATTACCCCCTTCCAATTCAGGTGCAGATGGGCTTGGATTCACAGTGGTCACCAGGGACTCCACATTACATGGGCCTGGCCCTATTTTCGTAAAAAATATTCTTCCTAAAGGAGCAGCCATAAAGGATGGACGATTGCTGTCTGGAGACCGAATAGTAGAGGTATATGAATGATCAGCTTTAATGTCCTCTTTTTTTGTAGAATTGGTCAAAACAAAGTTCAGGAACATACCAAAGTTTCATTTAAAAATGGTCATTCCTGTGCTCAGACCTAATTTATTTAACCTGTGTGGTGTATTCTAACTCAGTGCAAAAAAAATGTGCTTTTGAATAGAATCTCTGAGATTAGACAAGATAACTGTGGAAATGTTCACGCACAGATTTTAGATTGCAAACATTAAAGTAAACTTGCTAAAGTCTACATCAATTTAAAAGCAATTCCTTTCTCAATTTGCTTTCAGGATTTATGTATTAAAAAAATAGATGATATATTTTTAGTGTTATTCTCCTGCCTTAGAAACCCGTTTCCATGGCAGCATAAATTGAGGAGTCAACTATGGAAAGATTCTGATGGGACTCTACCTTCCAGGGCGAATTTTGCATTGAAGTTGGTCATGATTCTTGTATGCTTTTATATGTTTTATTTCTGTTTTCCAATTTAAAGAAATGTAACCTCTTTACTCTTTGGTCCTTGTTCAGCACGCTGTGAAATGGCTTCTCTAAGAATAGGGTAAGGGGTCATCTTAATTACAATGGCAAATAGGCTTCTTTGCTGTTGTGAAGAAAGTACTGGATCTCAGTTTTGTGGATTTACAGCTAGTATATTGTTTTGTTTGAAAATGCAGGTTGCGAGAACCTGGAGCAAACTGTTTTTAAATACTGCCAGCTAAGGCAGTGCAGTAGTTTCCTAAAAGCATGTGTAATAACATATGGGGAAACAATGGAAATAATTTCCATTGTAATAATTACAATTATTTATTACAATGGAATTATTGTTACAATGGAATTATTATTGTTACAATGGAATTATTATTACAATGGAATTATTCCATTATTATAATGGAAATTATTACAATGGAAATAAATAATCCAATCCTACTCAGAGAATTCTAAGTGCCACACATGTATGTTTGGTCTGGCTTTTAACAGTGATTGCTGTATGGCAGAAACTGTATTTAGCTTATGTCACATTGGCTAAAGGTTTATATTTAATATAAAATAGCTTATTGTGCTAAAACCTTTTTCTTATGTGCTTGAATGCCATTATCCTTAACGTGCAACTGAAGCCAAAATAGTTTTTATTTTAGTTTTGGATAGAGTGAAAGGGATCGGAACACCTGTCAGGTTTCTACATCTGTCTGTAACCCCTTTAGAGAGATTCCCTCTCTCTATTTGTCCTTGTGACCATTATCTCTGAAAGTTGAAAGATAATCCCAAAATGTTGGGATTGTCATCGGAACAGGAATAGATGGGAAATACTTAAATCTGGACACTAGTTCTGGCGACCCTGCTGACCACCAGGGATTTCCCTAGCATTGGAGAGATTTATTCTGAGTTCCGGTTGTGGATCTCAGACAGAAGCCCTACTCAAACAATAAACCATGTATCTAGTCAGGAAGAATCTCTGTACTACATAATTCATGGTAGATCTAATGAAGATTGTTTAATCAACCTACAAGCTATATGGCCAGCTTTGAAGTATAACTAAAGAAAATACTTTTTTCTAGAGTGGTGAGGGATTAAAACCATTGTTGAGCTTTTATTGCGGTCTGTGTCCACATTAGGGAGATTCGGTCTCTCTAATTGTCCTGGTAACCAATATTACCGGGAATGAAAGTGAGGGGAAATAAGAATGTTGATTAACCACCAGAACAGGAATAGAGGAGAGATCTTCAAATGGGGACATTTATCCCTGTTATTACAGGAATAAATGTGTTTTTTCCTCTCGTAGGAAAAATATCCTCTCACATCCTATTGAGCCTAGTGATGGGAAATCTCCCAAGGAAATACAGATGGGGAAAAATAAATCTAGGTAACCCCACATAAGGAGGGTTCTACTACCTCTTATATCTATTGCAGTTTGTTTATGCAGTAATAAACATGCAAGACTTGTTGCCGTTAACACCATATTACTTCTTTAGGAAATAGGCCTATTATGAATCATATTTGCCATATCATTTAAGCAGAATTGATATTCATTAATCATTTGCTGACTCTTTGTACGGTATTGATCTTTGTAGTTCTAAGTCTTCCAACTTGGAATTGCAAAGGTTTACATAGCAGTTACAGGCAACACATAAGTGAATTGATAATGTTATCAGCCAGTGTACCATTCATTCCTTAAGATATTTGTAATCATATTCGCCCTGCTTTGCTTTTGATTATTAGATTATAATTTTTATTATCATGTACATTCGTAAAATAAGCAGACTTTTTCACATCAAAATAAATAAAAAGATTAACGATAAAGTGGGTTATTTATATACAATTTGCAGGCCCCTTCTTAATGTTCTTAAAACCTTTTATTTCCCAGATCGAATTTAGTGTTTTATTAATATGTTATGTAGCTGAGCAGCATGGGAAATAAATACTTCTTTCCTCTGTGCCTCAGCTCCATCTAGTGGCCATAAAGTATTCTTACAACACACTACATTTGGACTAGGGAACAATATATTAATAACATTATTTTTTTTTGCAATATTAGCCCAAAATGAACATTTACAGATATCTGCAAGGCAAATGGCCCTTCTAAATGTTTATAAAAGAACCCAACATTTGTTTAAATGCAAAATGTCCATTTGAGTATTTAATACACAGTATGTAGCGTTGCAGCATATACATTGCATATCTGTGTATTTAATTGAGGATATTATACTAAAGAATTAACAACTTCTGCAAAAAGACTTTTCAGAATGTTCATTTTAATAAAGCCATGCAGGGGTTAATTAAAACTGTTTACATTTTGTGTTCCCTTTAAGGTTAATGGCATAGTTATTGCTGGGAAAACACAAGAGGAGCTTGTGGCCATGCTAAGGAGTACCAAGCTGGGCGAGACAGTGTCTTTGGTGGTTGCTCGACAGGAAGAAGCTTTCTTACCTCGCGAACTGGTAATGTCTCTAACACTACAGCCTTGAATACATTGCATGCTGTTTGTTGCCAGACTGACCACCTCTCAGGGAGACGCCAGACCGCAGGCAGTGAGATCAGCTTACACTATATCAAAATCAAACAAGTGACATCATAAGCTATGGGATGTGATTTTGTCATGGGTATCACACAGCACTTGATTTATTGAGAAGTCCATGAATATATCCAACTCCAGAGAAAATGTATGGATGATTTAAAACTGCCATGACAAGTCATAAAATGTAACCCTGCAGGATTTAAAAGGCACGCCGAGGTAAAGTGGCATGCTGATTTGATCCCAGCATGATAAATGCACAGCCAAGCTCATCGGCTGTTATTGTATTACTCTTGCAGCCTCAGTAAACACTTTGTGTAATTCCTAATCAGAGTCGAACTTTCTGTAATTATGACAGAACTCATTTTACATGGTAGATCAGTTTTACAGATTTAAAGGTTCTGGCAGACTGTTTGCTATATGTTACAAGGTTATACTAATAGTGGAAGGAATCTGCATTATGTCTTTTCATATGTTTTTCTTATTTTTTCAGCATTGTTATTGTTACTTTTACTTTGGTTATGAGTGTTACCACAAGTGTAAACTATTTACAGTTTGTTATTCTCTCATATAATATAACTTTTATCTAAATGTAGATTGTATTCAGGGGAATTGATTAAATCTGGAGCAGACAGAATCCGGAGCAGTTGCCTGTAGTAATCAATTAGCTTCTATATTTTATTTTAACTTAATTGCCAAAACTGAAGATAGAAGCTGGTTGGTTGCCATGGGGAAACTGCCTCAGATTTTGGCTGATGCAGTTTTTATAATTCCCCCCAATGAGGTAGAAACCATGAGGTGCTTTATGAGAAAAATGTATGTGTGTATATCTATCTATCTATCTATCTATCTCGATCGATCGATCGATAGAGATATATATATAGATCTATATATATATATCGATCGATCGATAGAGATATATATAGATCTATATATATATATATATATCGATCGATAGATATAATGGACTCCTCCGCCCATCCCCAAGTGGCTCCGTTGGCTAACGAAGGGAAGTGGGTAGGAGTCCGGTGTCGTCGATGTCCGTGGCGGCTAACGAAGGGAAGGGGGGAGGAGTCCGGTGACGTCGATGTCGGTGACGACCCCCCTTTGTTAGCCGACAGGGCCACTTGGGCCGGTGAGTTTGCCCAAGAAACTTTCTGCACGAGCGCCAGCCAAGGCATTGGCCTATACACATACAGCACAGCAATGAAGTAATAAAATGAACTAGGATCACACTAATCCAGCACCATATTATTCTGAGTTGCCCCAAGTTGTCATATTGAGTGGGGCACGTGAGATTAATAACATGCTGGATTAGTGTGATCCTAGTTCATTTTTATTTGTAACCTCCCCCTAATCTGATGTGAGCCTAGACAATTTAGGTAATAAGAGTTACTACACATCCAGTCTACATGACACTAAACATCACAGCAGACCCACTGACATTGACAAACCCACTGGTCTGGCTCCTATATGTAAAGGGAGTCAATCAAAAATATATACTGTCCCTGGCAATGCCAACACATACTAACTCTGTTCACTGACTATGCGAGAAAGAGAGGGTGGAAGGAGTTAGGGTGTTTTAGTATTGCTGAGGGTGGTATATCTTCATGATTTGACATGTTAAATGTAGTGATATGTTTCCCTTCTCTTGCAGCACATGCTCCTGTGGTGTGACATGTGGACTGCATCTGTTCCACTGATGTTTTATAAATGTTATGGTGGAATGCATGCAGATAATTGCACAGTGAGCAGGGGCCTGACATACCACCAACAATTATTGGTATTGCTAGTAGTAATTATTCTTCAGGAATGGAAGTTTGAATTGGCTTTAGATATGTTCTTTGTAGCTAATTTATATAGTGGGGTTATTACACTTTTTTAAATGTTACTGTTCACATTTGTAACTGTAAAGGTGCCCATAGACAAAATATGACAATTGATAATAAATGTTCTTGCAAATTATCGTCCCAACTGATACTCTCCCTTTCCCTCCAGCCAATAAGTATCCTCTGAAGGTGACCCTTGACAGGTTTACATTTAGTTGTGTTTTGTTTAGTGGGAGGCCAACAGTCTTGGTGTGGCAGGGCCATCAAGGGTATCACTAATCAGGCCACAAATCTAGTCATATCCATATTTCTAACTATTTGGTAGCAAAGATAGGAAGTGTAAAAGTAGATTTTTTTTTGTTAGAAGTGTCAGACTTCCACATTTGGATGCGATAACCTAAAAGTAGGCCACAAGAGTTCTACTGAGGGCCACACTTGCATTATTGAAATATATTGTTAAACCACTTCTTTAGTTATCAGCATGTCATTTTTGAAGTCTTACTTAAAAAGAGTTTGAAATGTTTAAACATGTATTTTCACTATTTTTGTACATTGTACAATGTGAAGGCATCAAAGAAAGGAGTAAGTGGGCAATGTGTGGCCCACAGAACATCACTTTGTCTTGTTTGCTTTACATGCATCAGTGTTCTGTTTGGGACCAGGAAACTGCACTAAAGCATTTTTAATGTTTTACTCCTAAATATTACCTGATGTCTTACATTGACTTCTGATTGTTTATGTTAACATACAGAATATAGAAATGTGAAACACATTTCACTTCTTGGGCTTAATTGATACGAAGGGGTGAAACAAGTGGGAGACTGTCTTAATTATGGTTGGCCAAGAGACTTTACCGGATGTTTGTATTTTTATTTAACAAATGTAATATACTCTACAAGAAACATGACTTGTGACCCATTACATGTTTTATTATGCCTTTACAACATGTTTTTTTCTGCAACACTGTATTTTACTTTGATGGAAAATACAACATTTTTCATAATTATCAGATTGTCATCGATGAAGCTCTTGAGTTTCCTTCCTGGAGTCTGAGGTTTATATTAGCCATAAATGTCTTCCTTAGTTTGTGTCTGTAACTCATAGCCTCTTCCATTTGTATTTAATTCTCTGCCGGCGTGAGACATATCAGTTACAATATAGACAAAGAGGCCTCTGTCCCACCTTATCTTGATTGATGTAGGTGTGTATATTTGACCTCTTATTGAGAAACGGGCAATATGAAGGTCTGGTCAAATGCGTCCTTTTCCTGTCTTTCAGCAAGAAATTACCCAGTGTCATCTGCACACCTATTTGAGTCATGTAGGCTGCTTAAATGGTCTTTCTAATGCTTCATTCGACGTATTACTTTTTTATTTCCTTGTTTTTATTGTTAGTGTTTCCTGCACTGTATATGTCTACAAGTATGGGAGTGTGTACATGATACCAACAGGAAGCTGTGGGGAAAGAACATCCCTGGCTTTTGACTTTGTCATTTTTATTAATCACAATATAACATTCTTCAATTGAAATCATTATCTGTAGCCCTAGTATGTTGTGATTTTTTTTCCCCCCAACAATAATTCTTTATTGGGATTATAAAATAAATATACAGAGGATAACATAGTGGTGGCACATTGTATACAGATCAAGATACAAGATGAGAGCAGTATAAACAGCGTAATAAAACAGGTATTAAGGCAAATGGTCGTATGGTATGAGCAGAAACATCTATACATGCATTGAACCATATTTAAGACCTGTGTCTGGAGCAAACCATACATAACAATATATATGCAACATCAAGAGAACCGAAAACAGGACTAACATCTGTGGACTGTATTCATGGTGGTAAATGGTGGAGGAATAAGAAATAGGGATAAATAAAAAAGGATAGGAGGAGGAAAAGAGGAATATCAGAGCTGATTGCCATTAAAAAGAAGAGATAAATAAAGCTAGAGAAAGGGAACACAATACCTCAATATGTTAACAAGGTACACTTGAATGCAGGGGCTTGTACCAGTAAGAGTTCAATTATCAAAAGAGCATTGGGGGTAAATAGAGCCTGTTGTAGGGATTGAGTATGACTATAGAGGTAAAGTAAAGATCTAGGGGTTAACATGTAAAGTTATTTTGCCAGAATGTAGAGTGCTAAGATGTCAGCAGCGTGCAACGATAATCAGCTAACCAACATGCCCAATTGGTTGTAAAGATATCCCACCGGCAGTAGGCTTTAGCATAAAATGATTCAAAAGGGACATGTTTATTGAGTATTTCAGGCTAGGGCCTTCTTTTCGTTTCCATATCTTGTTATAGCAAGTCTGGCAGCGACCAGAGTGTGGGGGTACAAAGGTAGGCTGCTTGGGAGGCCAGTCTAATATACTGATACCTACTAGAGCAAGTTGAGGTGAAGGGGTTGACTGAGTAATAGATGACATGAATCAGAACATTAAGGACCACATTGGTTCCAGTAATATACAGAACCACCAAATGTGTCAAAGACCCAATTCCTCTACATTCATGACAACATTTTGGAGATGTGGTTGGAAAATTTTTTGCTAACCTCTGCACGGTAAGATACCACTTGAATTTTCTGAAGGGACTCACAATAAATGATGCAATTAGAAGTTTTCAAAGGTCATGAAATAACTTTAAACCACTGGTTGTAAAGTTTAATTCCGTTTCCTACCATTCCATGGACGGTAGCTTACCCAAGGGTAGTGGCTCAGCAAGAAACCTGTCAAAATAGGAAATGCCTTTGCGGAGAGGATTGGGACTCTGAAAAAATGATATAATTTTCCTTTAAAAAAAAAAAAAGATCCTTTAGATTTATAGAAGCAAGGTAATGCCGAAGTCTATGAAATAAAAAAAAATCTTTAGAGGGAACTGTGTATTGGTGTTGGAGATCTTCATTATCATAGAGCTTATCCATATGAGTCAGTCCAGATGCAATCCATTGCAAAAAACTAATGTCCTCAAGAATGACTCCAGCGGATGAGATAGGGATATATCGGAGTAGGGAATTATTGTCGGGCAAGGGAGTCGCAATAATAGATGACCAGACTGAGGGGAGCAGTAACCATGTCCAAAAATGATCTCTGGGGCGTAGTATGTAATAGCGTGGAAC